CCCCCCCCCCCCCCCCCCCCAGTGTGTTGTGTGAAATGTAAAACAGCCGGAGCTTCTCCTCCGGTGAGACTCGACAGCCGGAGTTCTTCAACACGCTTTGAGCTGCTGCTGCATCCACACTGATCATCTCTGTGAGAGCAGTGAGGACTTGTTGGAACGCTTTGTGTTCTACAGGAGAAGCTAAGAGGGGTTCTGTGTAGGAAGGACGTCGTCGTGGTCACGTCACTCGTGCAGCCTCCAGTTAGTTGTTGTTTTTATCAACCAGTAAACAGGAAGTGACCATATTTGGACTGAGGAGGAGAGACCAAAACCATGTTTATTTCTGCTGTAAAGTGTTTCATTTTAACATTGAGGTCTATGAGGATCAACCCGGAGACAACCTCCGGTTCTTTAAGAGAAGCCAGAGCTTCATGTGTTAAAGCTGCATTCTCTCTAGTGACCACCAGGGGGCGACTCCTCTGGTTGTATAGAAGTCTATGAGAAAATGACTCTACTTCTCTCTTGATTTATTACCTCAGTAAACATTGTAAACATGAGTTTATGGTCTCAATCTCTAGTTTCAAGTCTTCTTCAATACAGCATGATGTTCATTTAGTACATTATGGTCCATTTAGAGTCACACAGACCATAAAGCAGGGGATGCTTTAGGGCGGGGCTACACGCTGATTGACAGGTCTCTATCAGAGACGTATGTGGTGTCACTCCTCCTCAGTCCACATATGGTCACTTCCTGTTCACTGGTTGCTAAAAAACCAAGATGGCGGCGGACAGAATGCTGAATCACAGATCACATGAATGAAATGAGCTTCACACTGAAACCTGCAGCTGCTCAGTAGACGTGTGAGCATCAGCCGACATCTTCACGAGGAGCCGCTGAGCTCCAGCACGCCGTATTTAAACACGCTGCTTCAGACCACGGTCATTGTCTTTATTTACACCCTGATGGTTAACGGTAAAACTTTATTTATGTGGTCGAAAAAAAATCTTTTTAAACTCTCTGTGAGAAATAATCACGATGGAACTTCTTAAAGTATTAAAAACATATTTAATGAACAGACACTTCAATCATAATTCAGCTGAATGGATAGAGCTCTTTCCCCACGGATGGTTCGGAGGTCTAACCCTAATCAAAAACAAAACAGAGTATATATGCGCGTTATCTTGTCTCCTCTCCCTTCACCCTCCCCCTCGCAGATGTTGTTGGCCGCTGCACCCATCAAGGCCAGCTTCCCAGCCTTTCCGTGGGAAGAGGGTTAGGCTGGTATATGCAGGTTTAAGCGATACAAGTTATAACTAAAAGAACCATATGATACATTTCCACAACAATTCCCCCTTTGGCCATTCCTATGGCCATTAAAGTATTTACAATTTATCGAAACATCAACACATATTACCCAGAATGGTTTACCATTAATCAGTAAGGCAAGGCAAGTTTATTTGTAGAGCACATTTCAACAACAAGGTAATTCAAAGTGCTTCACATAAAACCATTAAAAGCATCAAAGCATAAGGCAAAAGAAAAGGAGATTTAAAATAAATTAAAAACAGTGTAAGAAATAAAATATAGTATTAAAATGCAGAAATGCAGGAAAATGATTAATATATTAATTGAATCTGGTTCAATTAAAGGCAGCCGCAAACAGAAAAGTCTTCAATCTTGATTTAAAGGAGCTGAGGGTCTCGGCAGACCTGCAGCTTTCTGGGACTATGTGGAGCAGAACAACTGAACGCTGCTTCTCCATGTTTAGTTCAATGTTTAGTAAGGCTAACACATTAGCTGTTTTTGTGAGTTCCAAGTAACTCTATGTTGTAGCAAGCTAGGGAATGTTAACATCAACAGCAAATAAATCTCCTGAGATGAGGTGAAACAAAGACATCGGACCTCCATCGCTGTTACACAGTATAATAAGACAGTCAGTGACTTTTATAATAAACAATAATCAATTTGTAAGAAATTCTATCACCCAAGTATGTAATAAACAACCAGAATCTGTCAATTTAATTGATTCCTTTATCAAATAAAAGAAAACATTTTTCTGTTTTGTGAGACTATGTTTCTAGAATAGCTGTAATAACATAAGTAATACACAAAAATGTCACTTTCGTAGGCTATAGGGAGGAAAAAGTCAGATGTTGCAGAGTCGGCCTTTATAGACTAAACAGTGGAATGCCTAACATGTTTTGGATCTCTGGCTCACTCTTCTGATGTGTGTTCTATCGGTAGAAGCAGGGTGTGGTCATGGCTTAAACACGCGAACTTAGCATATTCATGTCACATGTTATTACATACATAGCACAGGTTTTACAAATCAAGTCTTTAATCTACTGGTTAACAATTTTAGTTCTTCTCATTATAATTGTTTGCATTTGCTTGTACATTCTTTGGTTGCCATGGTTTATTAGGATTAGGAAACACAATTATTATTGCATTTAAGAGCAGAAAACACATTCAACCTCTTAGGCCACCATCCCGGCAAGCGCAATGGGTGCCATGGTGCAGGAGATCTGCCTTCCATTGCGGCGTCATATCTGCACATTTGATCTCGCCTCCTCCCACACTGATTTCTGTTTGACAGCTTTGCAGTTTGGGAAACTCGGGTTCCTACCCTCCTCTCTCTCCCCAGCCACACAGAGTGAGTGAGGTGATCGGCTACATGTTTGATGCATTGTCAGCAAACAATACGTTTTCTACAAAATACAAAAAACAGTGAACCCTCTTGTGTACCATGCTAAATTAATAAAATGTGATATGTTATAATTTCTTTACTTTGTTTCCAGTAATTGTTTCTTTAAGTCTAGTCTTAAACCCTGAGGTCTACAGATAAATGATGCTCCTTAGTTATTGTCTGAGAAATCACTACTGTATTTAAATACCCCTGCAGTATAATATTTCAAAGTTCAACGAGGTCCAGTTAGAGAGAATTTCCTCCTCAAAGGGTTACAGTACAATCCACAATAATGTCTGACTTGCGCTATGATGTATATTGAAGTAGCCTACAGTTGTATTAACGTCTGTACGTAGCAACTGACTATCAAATCAAATGAAGAAAGTTAAATTGAATAATATCTCAACAATATTTATTGTCCAATTTCAAATTGAACTGGATGAATTCTAAATAATACATACTCTGATAATAAAGAAATGTTCTCTCATCTCAAGTAAAATAAGAGCTGGATAAAAAACATAACAAACACAGAACGCTTTAGGAAAATGTGAAAATGTGTTTGATTTAACAGAGCCAAGCTGGAACCTGGCCCTTAAAATAAAGTCCTTAATTTTAGAAAAATGTATTTAACTGAGTTGTCCTTCAGCTTTAAATTCAGTTCATTCAGGTGTGAAGTGATGTCAATCAAGAAAC